TGTAATTAGCCAGTGTCTCCCCCATCTCCTTTCCTTTAGTCCCTCTTCTCAGGGAGGAATTTCAGTTCTGCCAAGGACAGGCAGCACCCTGTTCTGAACCTTCTGACCCTCTGACTAGGAGCACTGTTCAGTGGCAAAAGGATGAGGCAGATTTCCTGGACTGATTTTTGGTTCAATTCAGCTTTTAACTAATGGCTGTCTTATTTTACAGTGTAGGAATTCTGTAATGCATTTTCTATGAACACAGTGCTGCAGCACCTACAGTACTTGGCTAGGAAATCAGAGTGGTGCTGAATTATGATGTTTCCTCTAAAAAGAGACATAGGGGATCTGTAACTCTAACCAGAACCAAGATTTCATACTCAGAGAATCAGAAAGAAGATTGGCTTAGTCTGAACCCATGAGAATGATAAAACTGCTGAACTACTAAAAATTCAACTCCACACAAGAAAAAATAAAGTTCCTGGCTACAGGATTTACCAAGAAGCAGTGCCAGCTAGGAGGCAACCTTATGAGCAAGCAAAGGTCATCTCTGCTGGTACACCAGCTTGGTGAAATACAAAACCTGAGAGATACAGGCAAACTAAGTTCATGGCTGCCTATTCCAGTCACTTCCTTCAGACCTCTGCTTCCACTGCTCTTCCCAATAAGGAAGCCTTTTGTGCCTCCGGCTGCTGCCATGTCCCTTTGTGTCCAACAACAGCACTTGTTCCTGACCACTCAACTGTTCCCATACCTGTGGGTCTTCCTCTTGTACCCATGAAACCTGCCAAGTCCTGCTTCCCGTTTTGTCCCTTTGGCAGCCCAGCAGAAGACAGCATAGATGCCTTGACCCGCTGCCTTCACTTAGTATGCAGCCCATCCAGCAGAAGGCAGAAGCTGGAATATTGGTGGGTAATGGGGCAGGAGAGGAATAAAAGGAACAGAATATACAGGCACACTGAAACCTAAAGAATAGATTTCATAGAGTTCATAAAAAAATGCCCTCTATGCAACCCACCCAGACAGATTTCCAGAAAGGATAAAATTCAATTGCTCCAAAGAAGCCAAAAACTAGACCAGTTTATACTAGTTGACAAGCTGACTGTTTGGCTTTAAAAATGGGAGAAGACAGGACATGATCAGTGAATAGAGTTAGACATTTTCTCTTGAAAAATGGTGGAAATAACAGTATCAACAGCTGGTTTATTATTAACACCAAATTAAAAACAACCACCCCAAAACAAAAAGGGTGCAAGACAGCTACATTTTTTCAGGCTTTTGGCTGCTAAGCATTAGAACACCAGCAAGGTTTGCAGCAGCTCACAGGCACACACTCTGTAAGTGCAAAAATATAGTAAAGCTACTGACCTGCTGTGGTGCCTTGACTGGAGGAAGGTGAAAGACGGGAGAAAAATATTGACAGGAGGACTGTCACCAAAGAACTGGATCTCCTTGCTATTAGTCTCCCATTCCAGTGGGGACTCTACACCTTAAAATCAGATCCACAATTATAACTTTTAATTTATAAAACAACTTTAACAGTCATGCTGGGTCACAACTGAAGACTGACAATTTGGAACATGCCATCAGCACCTCACATAGCCACGGAGAGCCATAGGATTTAAGCCCAGGATCCTAACACTGGCAAGGTCTGTCAGCATGACACTGGAAAGCGAACCCAGAGCATTAGAGAACGTCTACTATTAACTGCCAGACACACAATTACAAGCTAAATCACTGATATTTCTCAGGAAGCTGGTTCACCTCCCAACACTTGTTATACTACAGAAACCCCATTGAAACAATATACCTCATATTGCTCAACTATTTAAGCAGAAAAGTACTAGAAATTGCTTGAGAGGTGGTTCTTTGGTCCAGAATAGCTTCACACACGAGGTACATCTGCATTTCAGCTGCTACTGTATCCACAGCCAGGGTAACAGCATGGCAGACAAAAACTGCTCAAGCATTCCACCACCTAACCCACCCAAGGTTTCCTGCTGCCACAGCTGTAGCTCCTTCGATATCCAGTCTACCTAGATTGAAGTTAGCCTAGGGATATCAATACGAGTTGATATCACATTTTGGACTCTCAGACCTCAAACGTGGGTTCACAGATCTCCAAGGAAAGCTAAAGACCTTAAAAGTTTCTTTGCCATCTCTGTGAGCTCATTCCCTCTAACACAAGGCAAGAGAGGGGAAAAAAAAGTTTCTCACAAAACCTTAAAGCAAACAATTTAAAAGTTGCCACTCAAAGAAAAAAAAAAGTCCTATAGCATGAGAGCTAGAGCTCCAGTTTGGCAAGTCAAACACCAGAAAGAAAAAGCAAAATTAAGTTCCTAGTTAAAAAAGTTACCTTGTTCAACTACATCTGGCAGTTTCAAATGCACCTAAGCCTATACAAAAGCAGTAATAATATAAAAAGAAAAAAACAAAACCAAAGTCTGCCCAGTTGACTACATACCCTGATATACTCTATTATGGATGGTGTGCTCTGCTAGACAGGAGTAAAAATGATGACATGTGAGAAGCTGAAAAAGAAAATAATTGTTTTACAAAAGAAACTGTGCATCTCTTCCCCTCTCCAGATAACTTTTCATCCTGTTATAAGCTGGACTCCACAGATGATACTTTCATATAATTTGATCAGAAGTATCTGAAGTGACAGTTTCCACATTCTGAAACGCAAGGATCACCATTCTATCCATGCCTACTTGGTGCAAGTCTAGCGGAAAGGTAAGACAAAAGAGCACCCCTCACCACTGCCTTCAGTTTCAAAATTTGGGCCTTTGCTAATAACACTGTGAATACCTTCCTGAGCAGTGGTCACATTGCGTGGTTGAAAGAGAACTTTACTCTGACCCATCACAAAGTTTATCATCTCACAAACTGAATGTTACAGCACATGTCCTAACAATGTCTATATTTGTGATGTGGCTCCTTCTGCCTGAAGTAGCAGGATTCATTAACGCATGCCATTTTTCACTAGCTCCAGCTGCCCGAACACTTGAATTACGAAATACAGACGTATCTGGCAGAACAACAGTTAAAAATGTAATTGCATACTCATGGCTGTTCTCATGAGCCACTTTAAGCTCACCTGCTACAACCTTGCAGTGCTCATCAGGAATGTGCGACTTCATGGGATGGCTTGATTTTGTGGATCGTCTACGCCTGATGAAGTGTTCTTTTCCACTAAATGAGGTCTCTGATGTATTCACTGGTTGTATTAGCATGTGCTCTGATCCAATTTGGATATAGCCAACCTGTCCACAAAAGAGAACAAAAAAAAACCCCATTAGACAGTTTGGTATCCTAACCTTGTCTGTCAACCCAGTCTGAACCTAGACCATTTCACTGCAATCATTATTTACAGCGTGAGGAAATGAAAAGCGATTATGATCGTGTTCAGTCTGCATAATACAGACTAAAGAACTTCATCTGCTTCTCACAGTTTTTTATATCACTGAGCACTATTTAGAAACTTCACTGTGCAAGGCACTGTACATGTCCAAGCAAAAGGTGGGGGTTCTTGTCAACACCTTTCCCTTCTTCCTTTCCCTCCAGCTAGAGCACCACTCTAGCTGGAAGCATAAATATGTATGTCTTATGCTCGGCTCACGTGATAATAATAAATCCTATTAACAGAAATCCTTTCATGATCACCTTTCTAATTGCCAGCTAGAATTGCATTGTTATTAAATGGCATTTACTGTCTCGGTAGAACAAAGAGGTGAGATTGCCTGCAAACAGGAGACCGCCTATGTATGCGACTCTTGCAGACAACGCTAAGTGAACTGAAGTGATGTTGTAAGTATGACTTGCAGAGCCAACCACATTTTTTTTGTATGGGGACCAAATACCTCATCTTGACTACAACAGGGACCACATAGTAAGCACTGCTCTCCCTGCAAGCTATGGGTTGGGTTTCAGGGGTCAAGTCAGGAACGGACTGTTGTACCTTCCCAGTTACGAGCTTTTCCACCATCTCTGGCATAAGTAACACAAGGATGGCAAAGACCCTGTCTAATTAATGGTAGACTCCATAGGCTACAGGTCAGAGCACTAAACCCCTGCCTTTCTTGCACCAAGTCCAGACCTTACACCAGGGCTGCCAAGAACATCTTTGGAAGGCAGCTTCTGCCCCAGGGGAGCCCTCCTTTGCTTTCAACCCAGAGTTTTTAAGGGTTTTTTATGCCTTTTCCATTCCTTATCTGGCATGAAAGGAAGAGAGTGAAAGCAAAGATATCACCTTAAAACTTAATGAAGCTTCCAGGTTTAGTAATCAACTCTGAGGTTATAACACATTGGAGGAAGTGAATACGTACAATGAGGGTTTCTTTCTTTCTTTACTTTTCATTGTACTAATGTAATGATTATTTGTATTGCAATTAAAAGTCTCGAAATACAGCTCTTTGCCATATACTGCCTTGGGAGAACTCTCTAGGTCTGATCCAACTTCTGCTAGCAACAGAAGGCCTCATCTGGCCTGCCAGGAGGCATCAGACTGTGCCTATGGTACACCTTAGAGGTGCGGGAGCTTACAGAGGGGTCCTGCTAGGTTGCATACCTATAACACCCATCCTATACATACAAAGAGAGACCAGACTTTTCTTTGCCCCGCCCCCCGAGACTTTTCTTTGCCCCGCCCCCCCCCCCACTGCATTCTGTGCCAGCCAGGCAACCATCCAAATAAATCCTCTGCACGTACATGCAAATACTATATATTCAACAGCTGACTGTACTAATATGATTTATAATATACATTACATACATACTGTATATTGTACATTTCCACACCTCCCTGCCAAATTCAGTCCTCACGTACACCCAGGAAATCCCTTTGGCCTAGTATTTCCAGCAAGAGGAATTTCTGCTAACAGAAATGAGAACGCTCCTCTTTTGACAGCCGTACTAACCAAAGAGCGTTCAGGGGAAACCGGGATCTCTCAGAAAGAGTCACTAATTTCAAAAGCACACTTGGAAAAAAGAAAATAATAAAAATCACTGTCTCTATTTGGCATGGCTGCAAAGCACAGTGTTAACAATTAGTCTCCTGTCTCAAAAGAGACAAGACACACCTCTTTTGGTGTTTCAAAAGAGACCTTGCTCTTGGGGCAAGGTCACCGATTAAGTATAAAATGCCTTGACACCTCCCAGAAGAGCTCCCATTTATGAAGAAAAATTGACATTATTACTTGTCCCTACAGAATGCATACCAATAGGGCTGCCTCTTCATTTAAATGAAAAGTCGGGCTTTGTCAGAATTGTTTCAGAGACAGCAAAAGCTTTAGTGACTTATTCTTCCAGCCTCCTTTACGATGCTCTCCACTACTTCCCCTCCTTGTTCCAATCTTCCAGCTGGGAGGTAGCCCCAGCCCCCTTTTTTAATATAGGTTTTAATTATTTAGAAGAAGGGTTGTAAATCTGGTGCCATGGTACTAAAAGCCACACCAGAGCTCCTGAAACACTGCCAACCATTTTTGTTGGTGCCAAAAATATGTAAGAAGTCAGTTTCATCACCACCCGACATTATCCCAACTTTCTGGCATCAAGTGTGAAAATAATTTAAACCATTGGAAAGGACTTATGTTTCACATTTGCTTTGGAATTGTGAAACCTATGGAGG